CAGATTATAATAATAATAATTATTATTATTATTATTATTATTATTATTATTATTATTATTATTATTATTATTATTATTATTATTATTATTATTATTATTATTATTATTATTATTATTATTATTATAGTTTGTAAAAGGAAATATTTATGATTTTAATCCCCGGGGCGGTCCGTATGCAACATAGAGAATTTTGGAGAGAAAGTCTATGACTGATTCGTAATAGGAATATATATTAATATGACATTGATGCTTTAATTTGGAGGAGAATACCTTAATCAACAAATTAAACAATTAAACAAAATATTTTTATATGTATATTTATTTAAATTTGATATGCAAACACCAGATCAAGGTTTTGGGGTCTGTTAGGCATTCGAATTTGATGCCTCAGACTGCGTTTTATGGCGGCCCGAGAGGGGAGAAGCCGATGGTTCATCCCTTTTTCGGGCTTGGAAATTCGTAGTTTAGATGTTGTTGTTTCGCTTGCATTTACGTGTTAATCCGGTTGTTTTTAAAAGTCGTATTAGCTTGATCGAATTTTACTTCATTAGCAGTTGGACAAAGATATGAACTGATAGAGTAGCATCTGGCTAAATTTTCAGATAGTGAATCGGCACGTGTGGATCGATACCGTAATTCAGATTCATTAAATACCCACACATACGTGCATCGTAGCATATATCAATAATCTTGATAGTAAACGAAAACGAAATAATAACAATAAAAATAAAACTAGTCTAGACATCATCAATCAATGTTCAATCAACATAATCACACCAACACCATCACCATCACCACCTTCTTCATCTTCATAACCATGCATCATCGTCGTCATCGTCGTCGTCGTCATCACCACCACCACCGCCTTGATCGTCATCATCATCATCATCACCGCTACCTTCGTCGTCGTCGTCACCACCACCACCACCAGCAACACCAAATATACCAAGAACACGAACAACAACACCACCACCGCCGTACTCGTTTCCGCCGTCGTCGTCGTCATCGTCATCATCAACATCAACATCAACAGCACCATCACCATCATCGACATCAACATCATCGACATCATCATAATAAACAGAATCCATAACCGACTCACGGCACGAAGGGCAAATCCTATCCACCAACAAATGCCGAAGAGCGCAAAGCGAATGATACGCTCGCCCGCAACACGGCATCTCCGATACCTGAGCCCCGACAACCGGTGCCCGCGAACATAACCCGCAATACTCCATCGAATCCATCACCTCTTCAACATCCTCAACCCTAACCCTAGGAAGCTCCAACCAATCTTTCAAAAAATAATAATCATCATCGGATTCATCCGGCAACCACAAGTGTAACGGGATCAGATCTTCCGCTCTTATCGCCCGTTGGATAACCGACTCCACCACCTCACCCTCTTGCTGAACCGTCCGAACCTCAACGGTAATCGATACAGGGACCACCGTAACGCACCGCGGAGCAAGCTCGGGGTCCTCCACCGTTTTTCTAACGAAATCCATCGCCTCGCGCTTGAAACTTATGGTTTCGTCGTTGTTCATCCAATACTCATTGAAACGACAACTCAACTTAAACAACCCCACGGCCGGATCAACGTAGGATACGTCGTGGTATCTCTCGGAGTCGAGGGTTCGATCCCCGCCGCCGTTGATTGTACGGACGATGAAGTTAGCTGTGACCTCGAATAAATAGGGTTTTGTTCCGGTGTGGCGGAGTTGGTGTTTGTAACGTGAAACGAGTTCGTCTTCAACGGCGAAACGGTAACCGTATTCGTAACCTTTTGCTCTTCCTGCTGCTGCAGCCATCTTTTTTTTTTTTTTTTGGCCTTCTTCAATTTCCTTTTAAGAAAAATCAATTAACAGATCAATAAGCAGTAATTAAAAAATATAAATTTGAAGGGATCATATTAATTAGTGTACCTGAGAAGATCAGAAGCAAAAAACTATATGCAACAGATTGTAATTCGTGGGAGCTATGCGACTATTCAGTATTTTATATATATATATATACCTGACAGAGAGAGAGAGAGAGAGAGAGAATATGTAATTCGTTTGTATATGGTTGGGAAATTGATGTATTAATTCTTTTAGAGAAAAGATGGAGTTATATAATAATTAGGAAAGAAAATAAATAATTAACAATATAATAATTAGAAATAAAGGAGAAATCCAACACGAGATAGAGTTCTATCTTTTTTGTCTTTATTTTTGTGCATATTTGATGTTACATTAATTTATTTATTTATTTTTATCGGTCAAGGGTGAAGTCGGAATTTCCAATTTCTACCAATTTCGGTACGAAAAATCCAATTTTGAAACAATTATTTTGTTCCGATTTCCAAACTCTCGATTTCTAATTTTTACGATTTTTAGTTTATTTTGTTTGGGTTTTTGTGATAAAGTCCCAACCAAACATGTTTATTATTCTAGGTTTATGGGCTATAGCTCTTTCACCAATAAGCCCATCTCTTTAATGTTTATTATAAATAAAGGAAACACTCATGTATATCCCAATATTACCCTCAACTATTTATACTCAATTCTTAATTGTAACCCCAATTTAATCAATTTTGTCCACAAAAATTCAATTTTGACTTTTTTTTGGAGCATACTTTAATATACTCCAATTTAATCCTTTAACTTAATTTAATCTCAATTTGACCCCAAATTTCACAAATTATTCAATTTTGACCCAAAACTTTATTTTTTTCACATATATTTTTTTTTCAAAAAAAAAAAAATTTGCCCCCGGAGACCGGCGTTGACTTTTCAATTTTTATTTTTTTTTCTTTCGGATTTTTTCGCCGGTCTCCGGCATTGACTTTTTTTTTTTTTTTTTTTTTTTTTGCCTTTTTCTTTTCTTTTCTTCCGGATTTTTTCGCCGGTTTCCGGCGCTCTCCGGCGTTGATTTTTTTTCGTTTTTTTTTGTTTGTTTTTTTTTTACGTCCGCCGCTAAACGTTGACCGTAATTGTACTGCCACTGACAATAAATTAACGTAATTATACTGTCAATGACAGTAAATTAACGTAATTGTACTGCCGTTGACAATATATTTATGTAATTGTGTTGCCGTTGACAGTAAATTAATGTAATATTATTATTTTTTTATTTTGTTTTTTTGTTTTTTTATTTTATTTGATTTGTTGACAAGTCAACGTAATTATATTACTGTCGTTGACAGTAAAATAACTGTAAACACAATAATATTACTGTCAACAACATCAATATTATTATTTTTTTTGGGTTTTTTGTTTTGTTTAAGTTATTCACGGAGTAATGTAATAATATTACTGTCTATTATTGTAATATTAGTGTAAACACAATAATATTACTGTGGTTGACGGTAATATTACTGTTGTTATAGTAATATTGTTGTCAACCACATCAATATTATAATTATTTTGTTTGGATTTTTTGTTTGTTTGTGTGATTCATGGAGTAACGGAATAATATTACTGTCTATTATTGTAATATTACTGTAGTTGACGGTAATATTATGTTGTTATAGTAATATTACTGTCACTCACAGTAATATTAATTCTTTTGGTTTTTTATTATGTTTACATTTGTTGAACGGTCAACATAGTAATATTATTCTATTACACAATAATAATGAGTTTTGTTGTGTTAATATTACTGTGCTAGAGATTAATATAGCAATATTACTGTGTTAAACAGTAGTTTAGTTTAATTTTACTGTGTTTAACAGTAATATAGTTAATATTACTGTCAATCACAACAATATTGCTGTTTAAACGAAGAAAAAAAGGTTACAGAAAGAAAGGAAAGAAAAAAAAAATCGAAAAAGTCAACGCCGGAGACCGGCGAAAAAATCCGGAAGGAAAAAAAAAATTTTGAAAAGTCAATGCCGGAATCCGGCGGGAAAAAAAAACTTTTTGAAAAAGAAATTTTTTTGAAAAAAAAAAGTTTTGGGTCAAAATTGAATAATTTGTGAAATTTGGGGTCAAATTGAGGTTAAATAAAGTTAATGATGAAATTGGAGCATATTAAAATAGAGGGGTTATTTTAGTCATTTACAAAAATTAGGACCATGTGTGGATAAAGAAGTTTTTTTGTTTTATTGTAATTGGAAGTATAGAAGGCTATTGGAGCTTTTAAGTCCATTAGTATACTTTTAAGCCCATTGTTTTTTAACACGGTTTACATACTACAGTTTACATGTATAAAGATAAAGATATTTTATTTTAATTTGTTAATAGAATTAACACGTGTTTAGATATGTATTTATTATATATTCAATTAGTTATTGAATAAATCTCTAGTTTTTATTTTATTCAAATAAAATTGATATATTTAATTGGGGGAAATTATGGTTTTCAATTTTCATCCCTCAAGTTTGCATTGATTTCACATTTGGTCCATCATGTTCACAAAATACATATTTGGTCCCCTCATGTTTGAATAATTTAACATTTTTGGTCATTTCCGTCAATTTACCATTAGTATGTCAGTTAAAGCAGTGACGGACGATTTCATTAGTACTTACGGAAAATTGATGGAAATGACTATTAAATCTTGCAAAAATCAGGGACCAAATATGTTTTTTGTAAACATGAGAAATCAAATGTAAAATTAGTGCAAAGTTGAGGGGACGCAAATTGTAGTTTTCGCATTTAATTGGAGTATATAATCTTGTGTTATAGAATAAAGCCTATAAGCTCACTAAATATAAATATGCATATAATTAATAAGGATATGAAAGCTTCTTATGACTTGTGAGAATTATGAGTATAAGTAAAAGAACCGAGGGAAATTATAGATAGGTTTTCTAATGAATAATGAAAGTTGTATCTCTCATTGCCAAAGAGAGTTATTTATACATAAAGAGTTATAAGCATTCCACAAATAAAACACGTAGCTTAAAAAAACTTAGTCCATAAGACTCAATTGATTTATATTATAATAGTTTCATAATTTATTAATATTTATTTATTTAAGTGTATATAAAAGAAATGTAAAAATGACACAAATTATTAACAATAGCCAAACAGATTATTACTAATTCAAAGCAGTCCCATACATCAACAAAATATTGCAATTATATTATAGCTATTACAAATACAACATACAATTTTAATACCAAAATAATACCCTCACAAACACCTAATTAAACTTTCAAGAGTTTGATATTACCAAATTACCTGATTTATTTCATTTCTTGGAATACATAGATTCCACCTTGCCATCATTCCCACCAAGCAACATATACTTATCCTTCCTTGTCAACTGAGTCAGCTCGAATCCCAATGCACCACCCAAGATCTTCTGCACGTGGTTCGCCACCTCGATCGAAGATTTCCCCCCGGCCCCGCACGTCATTTCTTCCGGAATCTTCTCGAGGAAAGTGAGCTCGTAAGTCGGCCTAGGGTTCATGAAGTAGAAATAAGCATCCCAAAATTTAACCCCTCGAACCGTAGTCCCGTAAAACATGTTCTGCTTGAGGTTTATAGCCACAGGCACAATCCTGTCGCTCAACTCCGCAAACAAAGCACTGAATCTCAACAGATACGGCTCCCTGCACGTGGTCCCTTCTGGGCAAACTACGAGATCGCCCTTCTGTAGCAACGCCTTCAAAATCGGGATTTTTATTTAGTTAGTATAATCGAAACTGGATGTCATATATGTCATTTATATAACGCTTTGACTTCAAACTTTGTAGCTCTTTGAGTTAGCTTTCTACTCTAACTAATTCGAGTTGGATTAGAAAGCTAACTCAAAAGACTACATTTTACGTGTTTTGAATTTTAAGGGTCAAAATCACGTTCGAAGTCAAATTGGTATTAGTAAAATTGTAACGACATTTACCCTTTCAAAATCGAAAAGAGTACAGTAACACTGTAGAATTTTACATAGTTTATAAGTTTAAATACCTTGATCATCGCAGCATCAGCCGCACGATCCCGCGTCAGTGCGACAGCTGGAATCGGAGAGAAGAATCTCGAGAACTTGCTAACGCTATAAGTCACGCACGAGACTTTTCTCCCCAATGCTATTGCTATGACAATGGGATCAAGGGACGCCCGGTGATTGCACACGTAGAGGTTGCCGGGGGACCCAGGGGAGGGGGCAGGAGGCAGATGCCCCCTTATCACGAGGTTGATTCCGAGCATCCCGTATGTGTAGCGTACAATTCGCTCCGGTAGTGGGAGGTTGAAGTAGACGCGGATTATTGAGAGGAGAAATCCGAAGGGCAGCCAAATGTAGGTTATGAGTGCGTTGAGTGGGGTCGGGCGCTGGACAAATCTGCCGTCGTGGAAGATCAATCGGCTTTTCAGACGATCTAGCGGCAATGGCTTGGCGGTTTTGCTAGGCGGCACCATGTAACCTTCCTGTTTAAGAACATAGATAAGAATCAAGATATTACAAATCTTGTACTGATGTCAAATGTGTGTTGACTAAGTTGACTTTCGGTTCGATTTTTTTTTTTCTGATTTTTTTAGCTGGGATCTGCATTTATATCCATAACAAATAACAATAAAGTCTATAGTAATAAAGTTTTAACACATGCTCTGTTCCACCACTTGGCTTCTTGATTGTAAGGGTAAATGTTGTGGCCCCTGTTTTAGGTGTTAAGTGGTTGCGCCTCTCATCAATATATTACAACAGCCTCAACTACTACATTAAATTGTATGGCTATCCTATTATTTTATCATCATCACTAAAATATAATTTATGAACTAATAAAACATCATATGAAAAAAGTTGGAAATTCAAGATTTAGTGAAATTTGAAATTGAAAACAGTCAATAAGCCAAGGAAAAATCCCCGGATGGCCTAAATCGAGAAAGAAATCACGTAAACGATGATGGAGGGGTGACCCCCGATTACTTAAAAATATATAATATTGAATATTGATAAGCCAAGGAAAAATCCCCTGTATGGATTAAATCGAGAAAGAAATCGCGTAATCGACGATTTAGGGGTGACCCCCCGATTACTTAAAATATATAATATTGTTCTGCTAATCGAAGCAAAATCAACATCAGGTTGTGGATTATTGGAAAGTTTAGCTTATTATGTGCACAAAAACAGATTTGACCCCACAGAAATGTATATATGTAGATTACCAACACTACCAACAATTGAACAGAGGATTTTATAGTAATCAGTCACAATCTTAAAGCAAAAGTGCTTTTAGATGAGTCTTTATGGAATCTAGTAATCATTTTCAGATGTCTAATCGGAAGATCTAATTCGTATATTTCTCAAATTAAAATTAAAACAAAACGACATTCCGTATTCGAAAGTGAAACACCAAACATGTAAGATTTATACATTCAAACATCATGAAGCACATAAATTAAAAAAAAAAATCCAAAACAAAATAACTTTAAAGAGCAGAAAATTAATTGGATAAGAAACGCAGTCGAATTTCTAATCTAATTTAATGTCTAATCTAATCTAAATTGGATACGAAACGCAATCGAAATTAGGCTAACTGCTAATCTAATTTCTTCTTGTTTTTCATAAGAAACAGAATCGAAAAATATTTCTTTTTTTTACATGAATCACCAAATAGATTTCAGATAGGAGTTCATCTTCATCACAGTTATGCATATACTTCGTCAATTTTAGAGAGAGAGAGAGAGAGAGAGAGAGAGAGAGAGAGAGAGAGTTAACCTTGCAAATGGACATGAAATCGTGATCAGATTCCCGATCTCCAATGCCAATATCCGGCGTCTCGTCACCAAACTCCTTCAAAACCCCCAATTTCTTCAATTTTCCGACCAAAACACCAGGTTTCTTCACGAACCCCGTCGCCTTCCTAGTGGCCGGATCCACCTCAATCTCAGTCCCAATCACCTTATCTCCGCCCAAAAAGTCCTTCACGAACGGCTCCACCATAATCGTCGGATTCGCCGTGATTATGACCTTCCTCTTGCACTTCTCGAACACCTCGTAGCTCTCCGCCCTCACATCGGTGGCGTAGAACCGCGGCAGGACGGCGCGTGAGGCGAGCTCGATGTCCCGCACCTTGAGCCCCGCGAACGAGATGTAAATCAGCATCTGGATGGCGAGCGCCTCCGAGACGAACACGTACGCGACGGCGATCAGCGGGAACGCCAGGAGGAGCACCAGCCCCCGGAGGAGGCTTCCGGCCTCGATCGCCACCAGCATGAAGTAAGGGAAGGAGGACCGGGAAATTAGCAGTGTGCCGTCGAGGTCCGCCGCTATTGAGCGGCGGTTTTCGTCGGACCTGTCGCATTTCTCGATCGACGGAAAACGCGGCGCCGCGGCGGCGGCGGTGGTTTTTGCCATTTTTTTTTTTTCTGCCGGGGGTTTCTATGCGTGCATGAGCATTAATTAGCAGAGCGCGTGTTGTGTGTGTGTGTGTGTGTGTTTTCAGGAATGGTTTGGGGAGGGAAGCTGCCGTTTTAAATGAGAATTTGGAACGGCTCGGGGTAATGTGTAATGACGAAAATACCCTTCTTTCGGTTTGTAATAAATGAGTTAGATTTGGAGTCGATTGAAAAATAATGAGGTAACTTTATATATGTTCCTATCTACTTTTATTTAGTGGAATTGTCTCAAATGATGATTTGAGAAAATACATAATAAATTACACTCTCTCGTCTAGTTCGCGAACTATTCCAGAAAAAAATGAGATTTTTGTATAACACCTGGTTATATATCCTATCATACACGTGTATATTTTTAGTTGACTTACTGTAAGAAAAATAAGTCGTAACATTTCCAATTATTATGATGCTATAAATAAATCACCTTAAGTAATTGAGTTGGAAGAACAAAGGGGATCAATGACTCACGGGCTTGATGACCTTGAGATACCTGCGGTCAAAGAACACGTAAAATTAAGCCGGAGATTAATCCGGCGGAAACCCCTCCGACGCTCAAGTCAGGTGTGTGGATAACAAAATCGTAGATGCATACGAGCAATTGTATAGTTTGAATATTGAACGTACCTTAGCAAATGAGCTAGATCCTTTATTTATACCTCGTTGATTGGACTAGAGTTGGTTAGTTGAGATTGTCGGATCTAAGCCTTATTTGAAGATGATTGAACCTCCGCTATAGTGGGCTTCAAGCTTAGGCTCGTTGCCCATTAAGTTAAGAAATTGTAGGCCCATTGAATTTGACCAATTATGCATATCAAATTATATTATTAAATTGTTGTAAAATTATATAATATTATTTTGGCCAATATAATTATTATATTGAAAATAAAAATATATTTAAGAGTTTTTCAAAATTGGTGGACCAAGTTTTCTTCCTTAACTACGTTTGAGAAAAGCTGTAATGTTTGGTGGCCTGAATTTATTGTACATGTGAGGTAACTACATCAATATGTATGTTTTAAATGGTATGTACTATGTAGGGTCTTCATTATTAAGATTTTATTTTAACTTTTTAAGCGATGCAATAATAAATTTTATTAGTATATAATGATATTAATTAATTAATACTCACTAAATTATTCCAATTGTTTGAAATATTCAAAGATAATAAATGTGGTAGCTAGACTTTGCAGTAGATAACGAAACGTGAATATCCTTTTTCACTTTTTTATATATCAATTAAATTTTCATTAACTCTCCGACATTATTTCTGCATTAATTAGTAAGTAAGGGTATTTTGGTCTATAAGTATCTGTTTTCTTAGAATTAAAACATATTTATTGAGATTTTTAAAACTTATGTCAAGGTGAAAAACGATACATATTTAAAAACGAATGAAGTATTTACAGATAAAAATTACGAGTATTTTTTTTCCTTTCTAATTTTCTTGGTGTTCCTTTTAACCAGACAATATTAGTTGTCAACCTATATATATGATAGGTCACATAATTAATATTAGATGTGTATATCTCGTTAGCACCCCAACAAATTATTGTCTTATGCAATTTAATCCATATATTCTACAATTATATAACAAAGTAGTACAATTAAATTGATTATGGCTATTGTCTCACCTACCAGCAATAAGTCAATAACCAAAGTTCGAGTTCACCAATTAATTGACTATTTGTTCATCTAAAATTTTGTGAAACATTACCAGTACACCTAATTGGTCTAATTATGGATAACATTGTATGTATCGGGTCGGATCGGTCCCGAGTTGCCTCGTTTGCGAAATAATTAATTGATTATGATCCTGTATTTTATTTTTAATTCGGTATTTATTCAAGTCTTGAAAATGAGCTTTTGGACTTGGTTTTAGATTTTAAATGCAAGTTCAAATATAATTATTTTATTGTTTTTAGAATAAAACGAGACCTCGAAGTATATTTTGCATGAGTTTATAGTTATTAATTTTTTTCAATAAAATATACTCCCTCTGTTCCACAATAACTGTCTATTTTTAAAAATATTTTTGTTCCATATTATCTGTCACTTTAGATTTCCAATACTGTATTAAATGCATTTTTCCTGTTTTAACCTTACTAATGAAACTCTAATCATTATTTTTCTAATAAAGGTTGTTTTAGTCATTTCTATATGATTTTTCTAAAATCAAGATATATTTGTTGAGTTTCTTAATCTTTGTGAAAAGTGAAAAGAGACACTTATTTATGAACAGAGGAAGTAATTTATAACATTAATTTGTAGGGGCTCTTTGAGGAAACCCCCTCATTACCTTTTTTTTAATGGAGAGAGGTCCAAAATATTTCAGTCTACTTGAGAAAAATCCACACCCATTTTGAACTAATATGTTTTTCAGCTTTGCACCCGCCCGCCACATCATCACTGGGTCACGCGCTCAACAAATTTTTTTTTTTTTTTTTTTTTCGTTTTTCCGTTTTTTTCCCCTTATTTTCTGTACCAGTTTTCTTAATCGACTATGGAGCATAGTCGATTAGCCTTAATCGACTATGCTTCATAGTCAATTACTATTAGGATTTTTTTAATTTTTTTTTTGTTTTGTAATTTTTTTTCAGTATATCGTTCAACTATGATGAAGCATAGTCGACCAAAAGTCTGCTACAAAAAATAACAAATCAAAACTGCAAAAAAAAAATGCAAAATCAACTATATTTTACAAAAAAAACAAAAAATATAAGAACATTATAATTGATTTATACAATTGGAATCAATAAACAAAAAAAAAAAAAGGAAAATTGGAATCGATCAACTTTAATCGACTACCAGAGCATAGTCGATTAAGAATCTGCTACTAAAAATAACAAATCATAACTACGAAAAAATGCAAAATCAACTATATATTACAAAAATAAAAAATATACAAACATTATAAATGATTTATACAATTAGAATCAATAAACAAAAAATCCAAAAAAGAAAAGAAATTGGAGTCGATGAACCTTAATCGACTACCAGAGCATAGTTGATTAGCTTAATCGACTATGAACATGTACATAGTCGATTAATGTTTTAGCCTGCGCGAAATTCTGTACACGCGCCGTCATCCGCCCAATCCACCAAAAAACCCTAAATCTGCCTCCCATCGTCACCACACCGCCGCCACAAAACACCATCACCACCTTACTTTGATATTATGACAGTTTTTTTTATTACAAATAAATAAATAAAATCACAACTCGCACCACCAACTAAAGCAGAACCACCAGTCCACCACCCATCAAAATCCGATTCCGATCGTCAAGTTTACCTCTTTTTGCCGCCGATGTAGCAATCGTGGCATTCGAACTCAGAATCGCTATCAAAATCATCATCATCTTTATGGCTTTTGTTAAGATCTACAACGACGACGGAGACGACAACGGCAACGACGACAACGACTTCAACGGAATTGGCATTATTGTTCTGGCGGTGATGTCGGTGGTTGGTTCTTCATCTTCCGATAAGAGAGAATGAGAGAAAAGTATAAAAGTGAGAAAAAAAAATAGAGAAGAGACGCGAGAGAAGAGACGGAAAATAGAAAATAAAATTAGGGTTTTGAAAGAGTATAGTAGACAATAAATGGTAGTTTTGGAATTATGAAAATATCACTTAACATGAATATTAGCTAAGGGGGTTTTCTAATCATTTTTGAAAGCGAGTGTTTCCTTAACTCATCTTCCTAGATAGGGGGTTCTTGCTAATTATCCCTAATTTGTATTGTTATTATATATATGGGCTTATTGCATATGGGCTAAATAATGACAACATGTTTTATAAATGGGCTTCAAAATAATAAAAAATGGCCGTATCTCTTAGTAGCAAAATGTTGATCTTGGAATAATATGTATAATTTTTTAATTTAAAAAAAATTGATTTTCAGAAAATTGTTTGGATTGAAATTGAATTATATATGACACTTTCATTTTCTAAACAATATTATTATGATTTTATATTAGGGGGAATGACAAAAAGGCCCATCACATGGGACTTAAATGCATTTTGGTCCAAAAAAAAAAGTCTCTTAATTAAACCCATCCCCATGTCTTTAGTCTAAAATACCCTCAATAATATAATTCTTATCAATTCCAACCATTATGTTCTAACTTCCTTAATATTACACATTGACCCCGGATTTAAACAAATATATCACATTAACCCCCAAAACTTTTTTTTTTCAGAAAATAATTTTTTTTCTGAAATATTTTTTTTCCGGCCAGTTTCCGGCGTTGACCGGCGGTCTCCGGTGTTGACTTTTTTTTTTCTTTGAAAACTTTTTTTTTCTTGAAATTTTTTTCCGGCCGGTCAACCACCGTTGACCGCTCGTCTCCGGCGTTGACTTTTTTTTTTTTCTTAGAAAAAAATATTTTAATTAATATTATTGTTTTGGCTACTAAATTACTGTCTCAGACAGTAATATTACTGTTTGGGACAGTAATATTATGAATATTATTTTTCCGAACAATAATATTATTAATATTATTGTCTAAGCCGAGTTAAATTACTGTTGGAGACAGTAATTTAGCATCCAATGCAGTAATATTAATAAAAATTATTTTTTTTAAGAAAAAAAAAACAAAAAGTCAATTAAAAGTTAACGCCGGAGACCCGACGGTCAACGGCAGTTGACCGGCCGGAAAAAAATTTCAGGAAAAAAAAAGTTTTTCAAAAAAAAAAAGAAAAAAAAAAATCAACGCCGGAGACCGCCGGTCAACGGCGGCGACCGGCGGTCTCCGGTGGTGGCGGGTCAAAATTGGGGTCAAAATTGAAATTAGGGTTTAAATTGATTAATTGATGAAATTGAGCTAAATTGGGGTGCAAATCATGAAATTGGAGTTGAATTGGATTTCATTGAATTGGGAGTAATTTTGGTATATATAAAGAGATTTTCCTTATTTGCAAATAATTTTGAATGAGGTGGATTTATTTAAAAGACAAGAAAGTTGGATGTCTCTCTTTTAATTAAATGCCCTTGTCATGGGCCTATTTGTCGTTATCTCTTTATATTATAGGTGAAATAAAAAAATGGAATTTACGAATCTTATCGGCTATGATCTAAAAAATTCCGAATTTAAAACAAATTTTTTTATTTCAAATTTCCTATTTTTCATTTTTTCCAAAAGTTTCAATTTTTAAAAATGAAATTAGAATTATTTTTTCAATTTTGAAAAATTGAAAAATAGGATAAACTAGTATTTCACCCGTGCGTTGCACGGAGGTCAGTTTCAAAATGAGAAAAATAAACTTACGACTATCTCTTTATAACAATACCAATTTAAGTAAAACAAAATGGAAGGAAATAAAAAACATAAACTTTATCTCTTAATTTGAGTTAACATATGAAATAAAGTTAAATATTACAAATAAAAAAACATGAAGCGTGCAAAACACGATATCAAGATTAAGTGAAATCATTTAAAACATATGGTATAACTCTATTTCTTGGATTGCAATCTACTACACCATGTGAATCTGCTGCAAAATAACTAAGGTAACAACAAACACAGTAGCATAGAAGTAACGCAATAGATATTCAAATAACCTGCAAGTTTATCACTAACGACAATCAATTAGTGATGCACATTACTCAAACAACAATAAAAGTTATAAATATTGCAAAAGAGATATGATGTATACGCCACTACCAGTACTGATACCAATGTGGATACCAATACCGATACCAATACTGATACCAATAATGTTACCAATAGTAATACTAATTCAATTAATACTAATACTAATACTAATACGAATATTAATACTAATACGAATACTAATACTAATACTTCAACTAATACTAATACTAATACTAATACTAATACTAATACTAATACTAATACTAATACTAATACTAATACTAATACTAATACTAATACTAATAGTGATATTAATACTAATACTAACATTGGTAATAATACTGGTACTAATATTAATATTAATACAAATATTAATACTAATACTAATACTAATATTAATACCGATACTAATACTGATACTAATAATAATACTGATACTAATACTAATACTCATACTCGTACCAATACTAATACAAATACTAATAATAAAACCAATACTAATACTAATATTCATATTGATACTAATACTAATACTAAGAATAAGACTAATATTGATACTAATACTAATAATAATATTGATACTTACATTGATAATTATAGCGATATTGATATTAATACTAATACTAATATTAATACTCATATAATAACGTAACACCATATTTATATCGTAACACCACCAATTATGCAATTATAATAACGGAATATTTTAAATCGAATTTAACTAAATTCAAATTAAATTAATTATAAAATTAACTTCACAAATAAATTTATTTAGGGTTTCC